ATAAGGTAGACTGTCATTCCCCTCTTTCTAACCTCCTTCCCTCCACCCCTCCCACCCTACCCGCATGCATTACGTACACATTAACTGCGACCGCCTTATCCACTAGTCCAGTCAAACTAAGACTAGTGGATAAGGCGGCCGCAGTTAAATGTGACTTTTCAAAGACACGGAGCTGATACCGGTAACCTTCTCCGCGATGCAAAACTCTACAAAGAAGTGACTCTGAAAGTACCAGCAACATTTAGGGAGCTGTCTGAAGTACATTCATGCTCAAAGCAAGAGCCAAACCAAGCAGGGGAAGTGGACACCAATTGGTATCGCGTTTGTGATCCTCTAGAATTGACTGTCGATCCAGCGCTGCATTGTAAACTGTTAGATCTCCTGTGGAACTCTGAAATATTCAATGAAAGAATTATTCTTCGGATGAGGGGGTCTTCACCTTGCCCTAAATTTTCCACAAGTCATCGGCAAGCACATGACAGGAAGTGGTATTTTTTCTGAGGGATCTGTCAAGAAAGTCTTAGAAGGCAAGGCCTACTCAAAAAGCACGAGGGTCAACAAACTAACTTTCCAGGTTTTATGGCGCCACATCTATCCGTAGTTTGTTGATTACCTGGACGAGCACTCATTTGGTGACGGACAAGATCTCAAATTGGCTGCTACAGATCCTAACTCTATAAGAAATTATTTCCGGCCTCCCACAGTCTTGGACAGCCTGAGCGATTTTCTGAAGGAGCGCTGTGAAGAGGACGAGAACTTTGCCTAGTGGTGGAGCTTATCAATACTTTGGCCTCAAACCCAAAACGTGTTTCAAAGAAGAGGCTCCGTCTCGTAAGAAGACAGATTCTTCGGATGAAGATGCAATATTCCATTTGATGGAAACATTTCATTTGATGTCACAGGAAGATTTTGACAGGGATACGCAGAAAATCACAGAATCTCTTCTTCATGTCAAAATAAAAGGCTCAGAATTCGTGCAAAATTTTGTTGAGCAGCGTTTGGTAGAGTTGCATGGCACACCTGTGTTGAAGAGAGAGCAGGATTTGTCGTGCTCAAAAGTCACCCAAGCGAGGGGTGAGCCTCGGGAGACAAGTCTATTTTATGAATTGCCGTGGTAGTGTGACTTGAGACGTATTTCAATACGCTATGACATTTCTTCTTCAAAATTTCCACTAAAAATTATAAATAAAGTATTTTCAAAATTTTTTCTCCTTTAAAATGCTTGTTGATTATTACTTTAAGGGGCTGCCACCTCACGATCGAAATACCCCATTCCGAGCGTTTAAAGTGCGTTAATTGCAAGAGATGAAAAAACCATGCTGGGCATCCGATTCAGACCATCATTATACACGACTTCCGGTGGCAAAATCCGTTGGCAAAACGGTAGATCGATTCAAGCGGGGTAGAATAGGGGATATCAACGCGTTTGCTCAATTACCGATTTTCTCTTGAATGCGGTATTTTAAAATGTGTCCCCGACTAAGGATAGAACACTGGGGAGTATGGGTGTTTGTTAGGGTGCAGCGGAAGCCGTATTCCTTATTTATCTATTGTACAATCTTTCAAGTGTCTTAAGGATAAAAAGACATCAAACTGATCGGACGATATGATTTAGGTGTGGAGTAATCACCTTTGCCTTGTGTGGGGATAAATTATCTCCACTCACTCCGTGGGAGTGAAGGGGGTTGCTCTGGCCATGCATAAAAATTCCAACCTCAAATTTTTGCACAATGTAGATTGTAGTCGCTGCAGAGCTATACTTACCCTTAATACTCTAACGCCGATTTCATAGGCTGTGTATAGGTTGTCTCCGTTTCAATGTTCAATGTGATTAATTAATGTGACATCTGAAAGAAAAGGTGGCAGTAACCACAAAGTTACCTACTTCAAATAATAAACATCCAAAACTTGCCAGGAACATATATTTGAATAAATAACCACCATTACAATTCCCTACGGTTTACCGCAAATGCAGGTGTTATTGCTGGCGCAGTATGCAACGGGTCCATGGCCATTGATGACACACGAGACTACACAGCAAAATACGTAGGGGCACATATTAACCACACAAACTAAACAGAAATGACCATTTCAGAATATGCACTTAGCTCATATTGGAAACTTACATGCATTTGTCAAACTGCAAAGACTAAATACTGCCCCGGCGACTAAAACGGCTGCCATATAGCTTAACATCGTCCAACTTTGTAATTACAACACATAATTCTATCGCTCGTATTTATACTATAATCGAAATGTCGTGAACATGGTGTAAAGTTTTAAACGCCACATAAAATACCGGAATGACGTGCTAAAAGCACACGAAGGTTTATTACATGGAACTACTATGTAATGAAGAAACGATAATGTAGGTTTTTTACTTTTACCTGGGATGAAATCTTTTTTGTGTGCCTTCTTTTGGAAGAAGTTTATAAACCATTGTTCTGTTAATCTTGCAATTTTGGGAATTGTGGGGACATAGTTCAAAAACGACACATTTTAAAACCTTGGTTTATTTCGAAAAGTATTAACCTTAAATTACACGCCTCAATTTTCTTCAACATTTCAGTGCAGTTACTTTTGTCAATTGAACTGTGAAGAAAATGAAGTCGGAGGAAATTTTGCTATGGACACCTTAAAAACGTTTGAGTATTTGATTGAAGGACCCATAGTTTGCTGTTCTTTCCTGCTGCATATCGAACTATGGGGAACCATGGAATCCAAGATTTTTCTGAAATTGGTCTCGTTTCCACTTTACTACTTTCGGAATCGGTAGACTAACGGTAATACCACTTAGGGAATTAATATACTACTTCAAAGTTTATTAATTCTTCAACTGCAATATACTATACTAAGGTTACAAACAGCACAGATGAAATATTTCACTAGGTAGTAGTTGGTGGTTGTCCACAAATGCACGCATTAGTACTGTTACAGTATGCATACGGTCCACGTCCTGAGAACAGGCACGTCATTGTGCAACACGGTACGTATGGACAAGTCTTAAAGGTGCAGACTGTGGAGGAAACAAATTTTGACAACATGAAAATTGCATTTGGCACATTTACTACTTACAGAAGAACGCATTGCCTATACTGCAAACACTGAACATAACCACGAGGGTTGCCAAGACTGTAATGTAAGATACCATCGTGAGAAGTTATGGATATTTCCAGTTTCGCACCACTTTAAATACTTATGCCGTGACTTTTATGTAAACATTTTCAAGGGCCCAGTTAATCTCGAGAGGAGGTAGATTACGGGATTAAGGTGTAATTAAGTAATTGCTATCTTGAAATTTATTTACCAAATAATATTAAATGAGAGTAGGTCAATACATTTTGGACCATGCTTCCGTGCAATGTAACCTAGAAATGTCATCGGCCATATAAAAAGCAAACCATCCTGAATATGATGTGCTTACTGTGTCGATGGACGTATGTAAACCATGGATAGATTATATTTTCTTATCCTTAGATAAACATCATTGAAATAGATTCAAAGAAATGTTTTATTGGTGCAAATAAGGAAAGGAAAAATAATTAATAAATAGTATGAGAGCTAATAATCTTCCATTAATGACGTCGATAATGTTGATTGAGGTATGTTAAAAAATGTTAAATATCATTTGTCTTCGTTTTGATTTGTTTCAAATTAAGTAAGTATATTGATTTTAGTTGAGTTTGTTATTGTACGTAGTAAGCTAACGTTTTACTTTGCATAAACTTAAGAGTCTATGTAAATGTTGTAAATGGTTCCTTATTTTGTATTATATAATTATCAAGTGAACCAAAGAAGTCAATCATATTCTGAATAATAAAATCCAATTCCAATTAATATCGTGATTAAGTGAAGGAGAGGCCTAGAACTACCGAAAATCGATTTTCAATATTTGGTGACTGTGACAGGACCCGGGCTTTGTGTAAAATCTCACCGCAATAAGATTATTGATTTTTAAACGATTTGTGTATCTTTTTGGCATGTACGACTACCCACATTCAGCGGTACACAGCGCGTGAAGTTAAATTTTAATATTTGATTGAGGTAATGTCTTCAGGACTCGTGCTAGTGATTATTAAATAGTCATCCTCCCAGACGTGACAATTATACTGAAGCTATCGAAAGTCTAAAGGAACGTTTTGGGAGGAAAGACCTATTAGTTGAAGTCTAAGTACGGGAACTACTATTTTATAAATAAGGTATGGTATTGTCTCCTAATCAAAAAATGGGCCTCTTTAATTTATATATAATATGATCGTATTGAAACCCAATTAAGGCCATTAAATACTCCTGGAGTGACAACTGATGCATGTTCTGCTATCTTATACCCTTTAGTCGAATCTTTTTTTAAGAGCTTGACAACAATAATCATCTCAGCTCTCTAGCTCGGAAAATGTTACTGGTGGAGAAACATATTTTAAACAATAAAAGGGCATGCTTTTCTTGCCTAAAATTAGGACATAACAGTAAAATATGTCGCCAAAGACTAAAATGCATCATTTGTAATGCATGTACCGCTCAGGTTTCAAATTTAGTGAGCAATAAAGCTGCTACCTCCGAGAACATTGGGGGAAGTAGCCATCAAAACAGTTTTGTTGAGAAAACATTGTCTAATTAGCACAGGGACCACACAGAATGACGTTCAACAAATTGGAGACAAGATAAAATTTGGCGAGGTACTTTGTTTTAAGGTATTAAATACCGTCTGAAACCCCAGCGCCGATTCATTGAGCCCGTCATTCCAAAACCACACCCTAAATGGTGTAAAATCTACCTTTTTTTAAATTTGGCTCAATAACTCTTTTCCGGTACCTCATTGTCCGTAGTCCGTTTAGTTCGTATCTAATATAATATAATATATAATAATAATAATACTAATATAATATATTTATTTATTGCGTAAATGTAACACAAAGACACAAAAGGCAAGAATTCGACGTGGTCGATCTTCCATTCTGCCAAAGTAAATTAAGTAGGTATAATGGCACAGCTTAGCTATAATATAACTTACATTATGATTGTATTTAGTAAATAACAAAACAAAAAAGAGAGACAAAAAAAGATAATAAAATAATAAGTGTAATAATATGACTTTAAGTGCAAGGTAAACTTTAATGTTTCCTAGTATTAAAGACTCATTGACATTAGATTTGAAGTTAGGGTAACTTAAATTTATAAATTCAAAAGTTAAATTAAGCGTATGGGGAGCCACATAGACAAAGCATCCCTTATATTTAAAAGTCCTATGTTTAGGAATGTGATATTTTAACTTTCTGATGTTGATGCTGTGTAGATCGCTACGTTTTACTATACATTCAGTTAAATACCTGGGACTGTTATACTTTATCAACTTCCATAGGAAGGTAGCCATAAGTTGGAAGACTCTTTCCCGTGTTTTGAGTTCGCCTAATTTTGTATAGATGTGTGTTATATGATGACCGAAAGGAATGGGATGAACAAATCGTAAGCAAGAATTTTGCAGTTTTTGCAACTTTCCACTTGCAGTCAGGAGTGTTAACCTGCCCCCCTCCCACCACTTAAAGATTTGATAATATGCGTTCACACGCGCCATCGATAATACGTTTTTCTTTAGTGGGGGGGGGGGGGGGGAAGTTGACGGACCCTTTGTAGTCAGTGTTGCCGTAGATTAATTTCAGGTTGTTAAACATGGCGTGCGTGTGTGTGATTGGTGATCTGTCTTTGTCGACCGTTGACGCAATTATTGTCACTAGAGGGAGCGTTACTTGAAGAAAGGCGATGATCTTTGGAAGAAAATTGAAAATATTAGGAAGCCGAAGCCGAAGCCGATTACCCCTCAAAGACGCGCGCCTTGCAAAAGGTGGTTTATTTCGCCTCTCCGAAAAAAAACAATGGGTCGTCGCAGGTCGCGCAGGAGTTCGGCGCGTTTACAAGATCGACGACACCAATTTGAAAACAATCGGACCCAAACTATAGAAGAAGATAGAAAAACACTGAAAAATCACCACGTTAGTATAAGACTCGGTGATGGCGCCCAGATGTCGCTGACCCCAGATCTTGAAGCCCCGTCCCTTAAGTTGTTTATTACATGGCCCCGGTAGGTACACGTACAATTGCACAAATGTACACTTCTCTTTCCACAAGCGTTTTTGTACGGGTCCGCATTTGCTGCCAGCCAGCCAACCAGCCGGTCGAAGTGGGATTAAAACCTACCTTTTTACAACTAAATTTACAAAAATGCGATAAAAAAGTAGGAAAATATTGACTCTTCACTAACACTACCTACTAACTGCAAGTAGAAACTAAATGGATAATGAGGCGCCGGAAAGTCGAGACATCTCTAATTTGTTGAACGTTACCATATAAAATGATGGATAGGCCCTGTGCTAAATACTTCGGATACATACTTTTTTTTTGCAAATTCTTAAGTTAAAATACTTAACTTAAAATACTTAGGCAAAATTTGGGATTAGGTTCAACTTACCCTCCACTTCAAAATACTTGTATATATTATGCCGATGGGCGCTCTTTATTTTGGAGAGGTGAAAACCAAAACCAATAAAACTACATTATTAAAGCTTAAGGTGAGTAAAATTTTGTTCAGATGAGTTGAGTAATGGTTGTTAGAGGCTTTGGAACATTGTTTCAGAATATTTCAACCCTTAAAATATCTGTGAACCTATTTTCTAGTGGCAAAAAAGTTACTTTAATGCTCTTCATTTTGATATAACCGTTGAGTGAAAAATTAAATTTCCGTATTTGGCGCCTAAAAGCGCCTCGTACTTAAAACTTTCAACTTGTCAGCGAAAACTCACTTCTCGGCCTCATTCAACAATATACCTACTAATTCCGCACCCATGGTTCTTTAGATGCCCACAATTAAGGAGGTTTATTTACGAGACAACACTTTAGTATCAAGGTACAGAATTTTTTTATTTCTTTGTTGAATATCTACCTCGTATATTGATTATACGTAATAATTCTGAAAATGGGTTTTAATTGAACAAATTGTTGCGTAAACAACGTCATGCAGACGTTTCGTTTGGGCTCGGCACCTGTGATAATAACGGGTGTACGTGTAAAATTTTTAGTGTAGATTTGGTCGTTGAATTAAACAAGGAGATAGTTCTTTTTATTTTAATTTTAAGTTCGTTGTTTTGTTTAATTTAATCGCCTTGTAATTTTTTATTGTCATTTATTTGTGCTTAAGGAAGGAAATTTTAGGTGGAAGAGAGGAGATCCTTTAAATACGAGGACATAACTAAAAATCCCTTTTGGCTCGGCCGATGATCAGGTGTAGGTAGATTTCTTTCCAGTCATTTTGCTCCAATATGGCGGAATTGGCTGATTCACAAACTTGACCACGATATTTATTTAGTTACTCCAACCCTTAAAAAGTTTGGTCGAAATCGGTTCATAATTACGAAAGTGTTTCTTGTAAGTGGAACAATTTCTGGACGGCATATTATTCATGAGAACCAATAGAGGTCGCCACTGACAAATTGCATTGTAAAATTATATCAAACTTTGAGAATGACTCCTCTGGGCTTATACAATCATTTTTTAGCGTGGTTTTTGAAAATATAAATTCTACATACGTTACTCTTGAGCGACTAATAAGGGTTTTATTAGAAAGACAGTAATTACTACAATATTGCTAAAATAAGAGGGCACATTTTATTTTTTACAACTATATTATACAACATAGATGAATATTTAATTGAGTAGTAGTTGATCATGGTTGTCTACAAACGCATGGATGGGTACTGTTGCTACAGAATGGATACTTTCCAGGTGTTACGTGGCACGCGAGTACGCATCAGACTACGCTTGATGGACAAAGTTGAAATTTTAAGAAGCACGCTGTAGGGGAAAAAATTTTGACAACATGAAAATTGAATTTGGCACATTCACTACTTACTGGAGGCAGCATTACCCATACTGAAAACACTGAACATAACCACAAGGGTTGCCAGTACTGTAATGTTAGATCTCATCGTGAGAAGTTTTGATCGATATAGATTCTTCCTATTCCCACTACTATTGCTGCCGTGACTTTAATTTATTAATCCCGCGAGGTGTATTACTTTAGATTACGGAATGAAGGTGCTGTAATGAAATAGTTGCTATTTTACAAATCTGTTGCCTTAGCACATAGTAGGCATCACCTTCCATTAATGACGTCGGTAATGTTGATTTC